GCCTTAATTTGGGTGACAGAGCAGTGAAAACACTTCAGACTGCAATTACTTAAGAAAAAACACAGAGAGATGTAGAGAAACCCCCTGAAATGTCCAAAACACTCAAAAAAATTTGCAGACTTTAATTTCTATATACAGTTTGAAATCATCTCTCTTATCACACAGCAGCATTAGAGGAGTCAAGAGCACTAGTGTTATAGTCTGTTGCAGTGGCATACCTACGATCTTATGAACCACAGTGGAAAAAAAATTAAATGAAGGAAAAAAAACAGACAATGTAATTTGCTTGTTTACTCACTATTGTTATCTAGCAAACACTTTGATTCTCTCAAGGTATGTCACTCACCCACTAGCATCTAACGTTAACCTAAATGTTACGTTACGCTACCTGTTTGAATTGTTAAAATACAGATTTTTATATGTGATTTGAAGGTGGAGTCATTTTGATCTTTTTAAGATTGTAAAACTCTAAATAATGGAGGTTGTGAAGAATTGGTTTGAATACAGCTATCATGGATGAGATTCATTAAGAATTAGAGGGAGATAAATAGAGGTTAGTACTGTCTGTGTAGTGCTGATGGAAGCTAACTGGTGAGGTATGTTGTTTGTCTCTTTCTGTGAGTCATGGGCGTACAATTGTGTCAGTATCTATATGAGGCACTCACAAAAGAATTTTAAAAAGTCTGGCCACTGTGGGCCCCTCCTCAGGCCATGGGCTGCAGGGTAATTTCACCCCTGTACCCCTACAGTAGTTACAGTACTGGCCTTCTGTAAGCATGGTGAAACCATCCCGAGATTGTAAAATAAGTAAAGGAGATTCCTTAACTCCTCAGACCCTAGGCTTATTATTCAGTTATTAATCTTAAAACTTAAAAAAAAATATTCAGTGACTTTTTTGAAACTACTATGTATATGGTGTTGGTTTAAGGAGTTAATATGCAGAGTGACATTGCAGCCTTATTAAAAGTTGCCCTATTTGAAGATTTGTACTTATTTTCAAATGCTAACATTATTTTTCTTCTACTCAAGCAGATTTATTTAAGTGGTTTATCTTTTGTGCATTATCCCTTCGTGTTGAGTTACTAATTCTCTTTTTGGGATTAACTTCATTCAGTTCTGTTGGTTTAGCACCTGAGCTGCTGTGCTGTTGAGCTCTAGCACTTTCAAAGTAACAGACCAAAACGAAAAGAATATTAATATCTAATATTCTTCAGCTATCAGCAATCTATATTAGATGCTGAACAGAAAATACTAAGGATTTCTACTGCATATTTCTGATTTTTTTATTTTTTTTTTTTCAATTTACTTGTGTTATTTTTTTCTAGGGTGCTTTTACTTCAACCTCAGTCACTATTTAATGGAAGTGATAATACTTTTACTTAGTTTTGGTTTATGCTACTCTTAGCCAATTCCCGACTTTCACTGATACAATAAAGTCTTAGTATGAACTGTTTGCTAAGAAACATTTGAATGATGTGCTTAAAGGAGACTTCATCTATTTTTTTTTAATTTCTGCTTACTGTAATTGTTACGATTTAAACAAAGTCATTTAGTATGGTTTGATGTGAAATGTGTTCCATTCTAGGGAAATTTACCAAGTCAAAATTGTTCATAGCGTACTAATAGGAACCAGATGTCCAAAGAGTTTAATGCATCTAAAATCTACTCTTTTGAAATCTATTACATGAAACGGTTACAAATGCTGCCTGATGCCCGAGACATTTTTATGATTGTTTTGAGATGCTTTTTTAAAATGTAATATTAAAAGCTTCATGGCAGAGAAGTACTTGTAGAGCATTGTAAAGCAAAGCAGTAAACTGTTTTTTTTCCTGATTTACCACTATTTTACTATTATCAGCATTATACATAAAAAAGTTATTTGAGATAAATAAAATGGCTTTATTTGTCTTGTAGATATTAAAAAAGCTAGTTCCCATCACCACCATCGTAAGGAAATTTGAATTGGTAAGTTTCTCTACAATGAACAGCTTCATACTTCACAAACCAGATTAAATGATGTTGTTAACATTTCAACCATGGAATTATGCCGAAATAAAAATGGATGCAATTTTCATTTAAACATAATGCAGGAGGCTTTGGAATAAAATGTCCTTTTTTGTTATTCAGTTATCCACGTAGCTTTGTTGAAAAAAAACAGCATGACCCAGCTGTAGAAGTGGACCTGTACAGATGACCAGAAAAGAAAATGAACGAACATAAAGACAACAATCCTTCTTCTCCCTCTAAACATGGACACTGAACAACATGCCAGAGAGCTTTTCATAGGCCCACAAAACATGTCCTCCTACACTTAAGCAGAAGACACAGAGAGGCAGAGAATGGGAAGTTCAGAGATGGGTTGAAATGAGTGTGACACTGAGAAAAAAAGGGAGGGAGAGTCTCTTATTCACACAGAAATGCAACTCAATTTGCTCTTTTTACACCACATCGATAGCACTTTTACACTGTGGGAAGAGCACAGGCACATTAGCACATTTAATGCCATTCTGCTGAACTCATTTGATAAGTCAGCTGCCCTTTCTGAGGCACTGAGCAGTTCGTTTGCCAAATCTTGAACCGTCTATCATGATTTGATTAAGAGAAAAACAACAGTGCATTACTGGGTATTAAGGTGTGTGTGAGAGAGAGAGAAACAGACAGACAGAGAACAGAGAGATTTGAGTATTACAGTTAAGAAATATTACCATCTATCAGGGATGTTCTTATTAAATATATTAATATGTTTAGGGTCGTCTGTGATTCTCTGCTTGATATATACTTACATTCATTCATTCATTCATCTTCTTAGACCACTTGATCCTGCTAGGGTCGCGGTACCGGTACAAAAAGCAAGCAATCCCAGACCCTGTCCCCCCCCAACTTCCTCCAGCTCATTTAGAGGGATCCCAAGCCACTCCCAGGCCAGCATGGAGGTATAATCCTTCCTAGGACAATCTCAGGGTCTTGTCCCAGTCAGCTGTGACAAGTAAACCTCCAACGGGAGGCAGCCAAGGGGCATCCTAATCAGATGCCCAAACCACCTCAACTGGCTCCTCTCAAAGTGGAGGAGTAGCAGTTCTACTTTGAGCTCCCCCTGGGTGACCAGACTCCTAATGCTTTCAAGTAGAGTGTAGCCCCCACCCTGCGAAGAAAGCTAATTTCCGTCACTTGTATCTGCAGTCTTGTACTTTTGATCATGGTCCAAAGTTCATGACCATAGGTGAGGTTTGGGATGAAGACCGACTGGTAAAAAGAGAGCTTTGCCTAATGGCTCAGCTCCCTCTTTACCACTGCAGTCTGGTACAGCGACCACATTACTGCTGCCGCCTGTCCCAGCCTGAGGCCGATCTCACAATCCCTCTTCCCATTACTTGTTAACAACACCCCAACATACTTAAAGTCCTCGACCTGGGGCAGGTCCTCTGGGGCATGCCATCCTTTTCCAGGCTAGGACCATGTAATCATACTTGGAGGTGCTGATTTGCATACCAACTTTTCACACTCAGCTACAAAGTGCTCCAGTGAGAGCTGGAGGCATTCATGTGAAGTAGCCAAAAGGACAACATCACCCGAAAAAAACAGACGCCACCTTCCGGCCTCCATTTGTAATGCCCTCCTGTCCTTAGGCACGTCTTGACACCCTGTCCATGAATATGATGAACAGGAGTGGAGGCAAGGCACTAACTTGGCGTTCAACGCTCACATTGAATGAGCTTGGCATAATGCTGAGTATACGGACACGGCTCTCACTCAGGATGTACAGAGACTGAATGGCCCAAAGTAGTGGCCCCTGCAACCCATACTCTCGGTGGACCTCCCCACAGAATATCTCGGGGAGACTTGACAAAGTCCTATGCCCATATGATATGTGTGTGTGTGTGTGTGTGTGTGTGTGTGTGTGTCTACACGCACACATATATATGGACCTTGCTTTGTGCATTGGGGCACATTCATCCTGGAACAGAAAAGGGCCTTCCCCAAACTGTTCCCACAAAGTTGGAAGCATACAGTTGTCCAAAATATCTTCATATGCTGAAGCATTAAGATTTCCCTTCACTGGAACTAAGGGGCCTAGGCCAGCCCCTGAAAAACAACCTCATAGCATTATCCCTTCTTCACAAAACTTTACACTTGGCACAGTGCAGCAGGGCAGATAATGTTCTCCTTGCATTCATCAAACCCAGACTCGTCCATCAGACTGCCAGGTAGAGAAGCGTGATTCATCACTCCATACAAGTTTTTATTGCTTCAGAGTGCAGTGGTGTCGTGCTTTACACCGCTCCCCCTGATGCTTGGCATTGTGCATTTTGATCATAGGCTTGGGTGTAGCTGCTCAGCCATGAAAGTCCATTTCATGAAGATCCTAATGCATGGTTCTTTTACTGATGCTGCTTCCAGAGGCAATTTGGAACTCTTTAGTGAGTGACTCAACAGAGGATAGGCACTGTGCGCTTCAGCACTCGGTTTGTGGTCTACTGCTTCATGGCTACGCTGTTTTTGCTATCTATATATATCCCACCATGAACTGAACATGACATTACAGCAGTTACATGCACTTATAGCAATCTGTTATGACATCATGGGATAAACTAAACCGACACACGAAACACCACTGTGGTTGGAATACCAAAACATAAAATGCATGTAAAATGCTTCTGAATGTAAGCTGTGAAACTCCACCCATATCACTACAAATACTGGTAACTTAACATGCTTTGCAAATAACAAACTATTTCAACTTCTTTGACAAACTGGCATCTCCCAGAATTCAGTATGATTTACAGAAATCTGCTGTTTTTTGAGTAGTGTAGTAAAATACTGTACTGTCTCCACTTAAAATTTGCATCAGATTTTTACAGCATACTATGTCTGTGCTCTGTCTACTGGGTCTGTATTTTGTATGTATACTTTTAATGTCTAAATGCCACACACATTTCTCCAGATTTATTCAGAAATTACAGCATACAAATCTTTAATAACAATGCTTTTTACTTCCACAGGAGGAATTTTTGAGTCCATCGAAAGTGGCCCTTCTGGAGCTGAGGAGCTAGCCTTCAAATTTGCACTGAACACCATCAACAGGAACAGAACACTGCTGCCGAACACCACGCTAACCTATGACATCCAGAGGATTAACGTCTTTGACAGCTTTGAGGCCTCGAGGAAAGGTAAGTTATTGTAGAGAGAGGTAGCTTTTGTGGCTGTGGAGCTCATTTACATGTAAAACCACAAAGCTATTTTGCTCCTGGAGTGCACATAAATATATGACCTCATGCATGCTCCTAAAATGCCCTTGAGGGTTGGGGAGCAGGGTTGTTTTTGGATTTTCCTATGTTGTGCACTTGAATGCCCTACACTCTAAAAAAAATTTTTTTTAGTAAAGAAAGTGGTTCTATATAGAACCATGAACACTCAAAGAACCCTTTGCTTGTTAAAAGTGTTCTTTGCATCATGAAAGTTTCTTCAGACTGATGGAGAATGTGTATGAATGTGCTATAGATGGTTCTATATAGAACGTAGAGTATATCTTTTTTCCGTTCGGATTTTAAATTTCATTTTAAATTTACATTGTGGAGGTAAATATTCATTCTTTTATTTTCTAAGCCACTTATCCTCTGGGGTCATGTGGAGTGCTACAGGCTATCCCAGTGGCCATTGGGTCTGACCTAAAAAAAAAAGGAAAATAAAAAAATATTCTGTTATGTTCTTAAGATAAACATAGCATGTGAAATTATTTTGTAGGTAGTATAGGTAGTTAGTGTCAAACTTCAGTAACATCAATGCATGTGAGTAAAGTTAAATCAGGACCAATTCAACTGGTTAGCTAAATAGCTAACAGGATGCTAAGAAAAATTCAGTTAGTAGAAAACTGATAATAAAAGATAAACTGTGATAGTGTTTTGCTAGACCCAAACCCTTATTGTTGGTAGGTTTTATTCACAAGTGTAAAAAATCCACATTTAATATGTTTTTGCAGGTGAAAAAGCAAGTGAGATAACATCCAGGTTTCATCTTCCATTTTAAAAGTTTCCGAAAGTCGAGCTGCAGGTGTGACACTATTTTCAGGGAGCATAGTGAACAGTCAAAGTTTTTGTGATGCATTGTGGAAACTTTCAGGAAACTAAAGTTTCAGTGTATTGGAATGATTTTTACAATCAGACACCCTATAAAATGGTTGACTCCCTAGGCAGTACCCTGACTACTGAACTAGGGAGACACATCCCAAAATAAGGGGAGATGGCAATCCTCTGCTGTTTGGCATTGTGGAAAAAAGCATAACACCCAGCATGGCCAATCAAATCAGACCTTGTGTATTGTATGCCAATCATATCTGACCTTGATGCCAGTGACGCACTTCTAAGTGTTACAACAGTTCTCTTCAGCAAAACAGGTCACAAATGCAGCACCAAATTATTAATGTTAGCACTTTACAAAAGTCAGTTTTGACAAAATCATTACTTATCATTGCTATTATAATACACTAAAATATTGATGGTTATAACTTACAACTGTTTAGTCCTGCAGATACTACAACAGAGTGTTTTTCCTGCTGCTGTAGCTAAACTTGAGACACTATTAGAGATTCTTTTCTGGGTTACTGCCTTTGATACTGTCTGTTACAAGCTGTTGTGTAATGGGAACATACTCTTTATCATCTGAGGATTGTGAAATAATAAGTAAATCAATGGGAAAAAATAACAGTTTGGATATTTGCTGGCTTGCCATTTAATTAAATGTCTGCCACGTTGTCCTGCTTCAGCTTATGTTTCTGGTATAAAACAATGGAAGTTCTATCATGAATGCAGAAAATAACATTAACAAGCCTACTTTAGCAAGATAAGTTAAATCTTGGAGATTCATGAGTTGTTTAGATTGCCAAAGTATTTATGATGGGCTAATGTATGAGAAACAACACATGTTCAGTTAATTTACTATGTAAAATGAAGAATATACAGGTATGCAGGGATGCTTTAACCTGCTCGTGGGCACTGAGGCTGCAAGTGCAAAAAAACCTTTCTACACTGGCATTCAGAATCTTTCCATTACTGCACTTAAATGAAGTTGAACTTAGCTTTTTATGTGCCAGATATTTCCCATTACGCCTTAAATGGTGCCGCAGTTGCATTCTGGTGCCTGTGACTGCTGCGCCATTTAAGGTGGAACAGAAAATTTGAATAAGAAGCTAGCAAATATGAAACCATTTATAGCCTCACCAAACTTAAACACAGAACCAAATCACTAAAAGCTTTATATTTTTTATTTTTGCACTGAACTTGAGATGAACTTCATCTTGAGTTCATATGTGCTGGCTGCGATCCATCCAATCTGTCGCACAATGGTTCTCCAGTGGTGGGCAGTACAGTTTACAGTTACATTCTGGTGCTATTTAAGCTGGAACAGGTAAATTTGAATAAGAATTTCACAAATAGGAAGCTGAATTTAGTGTTGTTCTATAAAGATCTCCCCAAACAAAGCAGATATGTAGTATATAATCAATCTTATTTTATGGCTAGCTAAATGCTATATTCATAAATGTAAATATTAAAATTTAAAAGCCCCTTTTAATTGTATTTGTTAATGAAGCCAAAGAATATTTGAAAACAGGTACTAGTTACAACAATAAGAAAGCTGTCAAAACACTGAAATTATGTAGATCTTTTGATATTTTAGTATTAAGTGACATCTGTTTGTTTTTAAATCCCCTGGCTGTTAATTGTAGGTTCATATTTTGTTTTTATTTTTAGTTTTATTTCATTGTTAGTGTCTTTTGATTTATGCTTTCTTATCATATTTGTATGTTTTCATTTAAACTATTAAACCCACCCCCACCACCACCAGAAAATAAATGAGGAACATTGCTATTGGACAATCCTGGAAAAAAAAGATAATTTGTTAGCATAAATCTCCTAATCAAAAATACTACCAGCGTTAAACTATGAGGCTGAAGTTAGCTTTTTTCTTGTTACTTCTTGTTTGAGTTTTCCTGTTCCATCTTAAAAAGTGTTAAATAGCAGTTGTGTTGGTTCTTTCAACAAAAAAATAAATTAATGTTACCCACCAGTCAAGCAGAAACAGAAACCTCCTAATCACTTTTTGTGCCTTTCAACTTTTACGGTAGCTGAAGTCAGCTTCTTTTTTGCCAGCTGCTTGTTTGAACATCCATAAAATGTTACTAGCATTAAAATAATAATTAGGATACTTTGGTAGCCTATTAGGTAGTATAGGTAGCAAATAATAATTAGGATACTTTGGTAGCCTTATAAGGGGATAAGCAGTAATATTAAGCTGAGTCTGTACTGAATTAGTGTAAGTAGAGCTTGTCAAAGCAAGCTATGAACAGAAGGGAAAGGCCCATCAAGTTTCAGTGAGTATTGGATGAAGAACAGATAACTGCATCATAACAGGGAAAATTGTTTCTTTTGTTTTCTGTGTTTTTGTGCATAATTCTGAGGATCCAGTGTTGTTCTAGAGAAAAATGTTCAAAGGACAAAACTTATCAGCTTTGGAACATTTTTGTTTACCACAGGATGCAACAGAGGCAATTTTCAAAAACTCCATATATTTTACTCATAGCGAAATTGCTTTCAGACCCGTAGCTCCTTATATAAGCATAAGAGCATGGCGTTGACTACAGAATGACAACATGACTTCAGTGGTTTCTCTTTGTACACATGATTGACAGTTTTGGGCATGCACAGTGCAAATCAGGCAGGGGATGCAGATGAGGTAGCAAGAGACACACTGAAAACTGAAAAATTCGACAGTATGTTTAGATTTTGAGGCTTCTGTGTAACTTTCTGTAAAATGTGTTTGACATTGAAAAATAACTTGTATTTATTAGCTGTTTTTATTAGAAATTAAATTAAAGAAGAGTGATGTCTGACTTTTGCACAGTGCCGTATGTCAGTATTAAAGGCACAGTAAGAAAAACAGCCTGTTTCATTTCAAGGGCTAAGCAGAGTGTGGAAAAAAAGTAGAGAAATTATGGCTTTAAGAGGTTAATGGCACTGTTTTTTTCTCAGAACAGATAGAGGAACTGAAAAACATCAGGCACAGTTGTAGGGGGCTTTACTTAAAGGCCTCACTTACTTGTAATTAGACCACTGGTTTTCTTTTTTCATAATTGACAGTTCCTTCCTTCCAATCTACAGCTTGCGAACAGCTCTCTTTAGGCGTAGCAGCCATATTCGGACCCTCCCACAGCTCTTCAGCCAATGCCGTGCAGTCCATCTCCAATGCCTTGGGTGTACCACACATCCAGACCAGGTGGAAGCATCAGGTTTCAGATAACCGTGACTCGTACTACGTCAGCCTGTATCCGGACTTCTCTTCTCTTAGTCGCGCCATCCTAGACCTCGTTCACTTCTTCAAGTGGGAGACGGTCACCGTGGTGTATGACGACAGCACAGGTGAGTAGCACAGACAGATGAGCCAAAAACTCAATAGGCTATGATGTTGGTTCCCAAACTTTCCTGTACTCCCCTTAAACATTAAACCTCCTTTTTGTGTACCTCCCCCTCGCTCTTTAAACATGCACACACATGTGTATACTGCCAAAATTGCATATGTATGACACTTGTAAATCAACCCTAAATATAACAAACATGTTTACAGTGTGTTCACGACAGACATACAACAGACTTTTTTAATGTTTACCTAAAAATTTAATAACACCAAGTAAATGTTAGGTTTGCTTCTGTATTACTTAGTGTTTCTCTCCAAAGTATTGGTAAGAGCAGAGAGATACATGGGAGAGAATTTTTGGTAACACTTTACAATAATGTTTTGTAGTTTGTAAGTATCTAATCAGGAACTAAGCAGGAATGTAGTGCTTCATTAACACTAAAGTACCTACTATTAACTACCAGGAACTACTAGTTAACTACTCAGTAGATAATAGTGAACTAATGATTAGGGCAGTTCAGTATTAACTAAACAATAACTACTGAGTCTCATAGAGAATTACTAAGTAACTATGGTTTCTTAGAATAACTACTCATAAATTACTGATTAATTCAACATTAATTGCTCAACTCATTGAGTCTTACAAGGTTCCTGGTGAACTGTTAACTGATGTAATGTATTCCAACACTTCTAACAGTAGTGAAATACACTACACAGTGTGCAGTCTCTACAACATAATGGATCATATCCTCCATTTCTATTCACAGAAACAGGTGTCCTCAGAGAAGTCTGGGGGCATCGCACCACACTGTACTGACTGGTGTCTCTCATGTGCTTGTTTTGATTAGAAACCTCAAAAGGCTAATGTACATCTTCATATTTGGCAGTGTGAACCAATTTGTACATTAGCCTACAAATGGGACAACTGCTAAAATACTATAGTATTCAGTAGACCAGTCTGCTTACCTCTCATCTTTAGAAAAGAAAACACCATTCTTTTCTGCAGGAGCACATGTGCCAATGTTGTTTCTTCTGAACAGTAGTTCTCCTTTAAAGTCCTCTTGAGGGCAGGGTCAGTTGAAGAGAGAGCTCATGGAAATATCTGACAGTGTATGTATCCTGCCTTCAAATTCACTTGCTTCTAAATATTATCAAGTGATTATGTAATTACTGTCTGCTAGATAATGAATTAGGTGTTGCTCTTCTTTATTCCGAGCTAATGATGATCAGGAACAATATAAAGTGAAATACATGGTAACTCATTACTAATGAACTAGGAGTTAATGGTGATCTGGAACAGTATAAAGTGACACACATGGTAACTCATTACTAATGAACTAGGAGTTAATTGTGATCTGGAACAGTATAAAGTGACACACATGGTAACTCATTACTTATGAACTAGGAGTTAATAATGATCTGGAACAGTACTATAAAGTAAAATACATCGTAACACTACTAATGAACTAGGAGTTAATCATGATCTGGAACAGTATTATAAAGTGAAACACATGGTAACTCATCATCAGTGAACTAGGAGTTAATGATGATCTGAAACAGTATTGTGAAGTGAAACACATGGTAACTCATTACTAATGAACAAGGAGTTAATAATGATTTAGAACAGTATTATAAAGTGAAATACATTAGAAATAAAAATCCCCAAAGAAATGATATACTGTAGTACATAAAATGTTAATAAAGAAATTTTGAAAAAGTAAGAGTAGACAAGTTGTTTATTGAGTCCTTTGTTATTTGTAAACAGTCCAAATGTGAAAACATTTCTGAGTTAGCTAGCTATATCATTGAAAATAACACATCCATACAAAATTAATTCAAAATCTGTCATTACTACTGAAGGAGAAAGTCTAGTCTAAGCCGATCACAGTGTATTCTGCTGGTACATTAATTACACATCTTTCTATTTCATATCTGAGGCACAAAGTTTTACAGCCTATTAGCTCACATTAGTTAAATTAACTAGCTAGCCAGCAGGCACTCATAACAGAATATAAGCAGCAGATTAGTGAGTCAGCTAACTGTGTCTCTACATTAGTGCTGAGTATATTCTGATACTTGGAGCTTAACAGAAACGTCAATGCTTTCATAGTAAGAGTTCCCTGCAATTATATAGTCAAATGTAAGTTTATTCAAATCAACAGAGCACTAAAATGTTTATTTTAAATGTCAAAAACTCTATGTATTTATACTACTACTACAATAATAATAATAATAATAATAATAATAATAATAAAAAAAATCATCATCAGCATCATCATCAGTAGTAGTAGTAGTAGTAGTAGTGGATTGTGGTTATAGAAGACTTGCTAATAAGCACTGACTAAGATGTACTTAAATGAGTGCATATTTGAAGTACTTCAAAAATATAGAACATTTTTCCCTACATTTTTTTTCTACCAGGCCTTTTTGGAGAAGACCACCTTGGCCCACAGACAATTTACACAAAAGCCCACAGACTTTTAAAACCCTGTATTTTATATTTTATTTCAAATAAAGTCTAATTGATCTTTCCATGATGACTTAACTGGGCAGATCAGAATGTTTTCATTTAATAATAAAAATGGATGTATGTTGTTTAGTTTATTTTTAGTTGACTTTAGGTAGTGATTCCAAATAGTTTTTAGAGAAGAAGGGACAGGAAATAATCTACCATCAAAGTTATAATGCAGAATTGGACAAGATTATAATATTGTAATATTTCACAATATTTTCAGACTATATATTCTTTAATGTTTAGTTTTACAAAATATGTTATAAACATAATATTAATCAATCTATATAATGTACAATGAATGATAATAAAACATTTTAGTGGTTTCAGTGGTTTTTCTCTTCTTTCTTTTTTTTTAAATTCTGAAAAATCTTGTTTCAGTCTCAGTCTTGTCTTGGTCTCACCACTCTTGTTATTGTTTTTTTTTTTATAGTAGTAGTATAAATATACAGAGTCTGACATTTAAAATAATAAACATTTTAGAGTTCTATTGAATTAACTAAACTTACATTTAACAATAGAGTTGCACAGGACTCCTATTATGATAGCTTTGGTGATTCTATTGAGTGCCTGTGAGGTTTTTGCAATGCTGGTAGTGGAGAGCTGTTAATCCTGCATTCTCAGTGGATTAGTTTGATAATTCTGTTCATTTTTTAATTCTGACTCGCTGTATCTCCTGATGTTTGATGAGTGAATCAGGCCCATGGCAGACCCCAGGGCCACTAATGTGAGACTTTTGATTCAGATAAAGGTTTTATTCACTTATGTAGAGACATATTTAGCTGTCTTGCTAACTAATCTGAGCTAAGTAGGTACGTAGGTCTTCTTGTACAATGCCTGTTTTAGTTTCTTTGTTTATTTGTCATTTACACAACATGTCAGGACATTCATGCATTGAAATGCTTGTGGTGAGGCTCAGTTAATCACTCTACAGAAAGTAAACAAAGTAAAAATAAAAATACAAGAAAATACTGAAACTGAAATATATTAAATATACACAAAATATAGAGACAGGGCGTACTTATGTAAGAAAAAAAAACAAAAACCACTTTGCTATGTACAAATATATTTATATTAAATGACGGATAATCTGTGAAGAATATTTACATTTTAAAGTGACTTAAGTGACTCAGTGACTGTATTATTGTCCATAGCAGTAATATGATATAACAGTATGATATAATAATAATACTGAAAAGAGAGTTTACCCGGAGCTCTCACCAGTGCGGCCATTCTATGGTGCACCAGAACCGGAAACTAAGCGGAAACTTTTACCGTGTTGTTTTAGATTTATAAGCACATGTTAGTGTTTTTTTTAACCTAAAGCTGCTGCTTATGTTCTGTTACAACTGCATGCTAGCTAGTTAATAAATTTAGCTAATGTGAGCTAATAGGCAGTAAAACTTTGTGCCTCAGATATGAAACAGAAAGATGTGTAATTAATGTTCTCAGACTTTCAGCTCTCAGACTTAGACTCTCAGTAGTAACTTTACAATACTGTTCCAGATCACCATTAACTCCTGGTTCATTATTAATGAGTTACCATGTGTTTCACTTTATAATACTGTTCCAGATCATCATTAACTCCTAGTTCATTAATAATGGATTACCATGTGTTTAACTATATAATACTGTTCCAGGTCATCATGAACTCATTAATGATGAGTTACCATGTGTTTCACTTTATAATACTGTTCCAGATCATCATTAACTCCTAGTTCATTAATAATGGATTACCATGTGTTTAACTATATAATACTGTATCAGGTCATCATGAACTCATTAATGATGAGTTACCATGTGTTTCACTTTATAATATTCTCCCTGATCATGATTAACTCCTGGTTCATTTGTAATGAGATACCATGTGTTTCACCTTATAACACTGTTCCTGATCACCATTAACGTCTAGTTCATTAGTAATGAGTTACCATGTGTTTCACTTTAAAATACTGTTCCTGATCATCATTAACTCCTAGTTCATTAGTAATGAGTTACCATGTGTTTCACTTTATAGTACTGTTCCAGATCATTATTAACTCCTAGTTCATAAGTAATGAGTTACCATGTGTTTCACTTTATAATACTGTTCCTGATCATGATTAACGTCTAGTTCATTAGTAATGAGTTACCATGTGTTTCACTTTAAAATACTGTTCCTGATCATCATTAACTCCTAGTTCATTAGTAATGAGTTACCATGTGTTTCACTTTATAATACTGTTCCAGATCACCATTAACTCCTAGTTCATTAGTAATGAGTTACCATGTGTTTCACTTTATAATACTGTTCCTGATCATCATTAACTCCTAATAAAGAACACAGTAACACCTTGTTCATTAGTAATGAGTTACCATGTGTTTTACTTTATATTGTTCCTGATCATCATTAGCTCCAAATAAAGAAGAGCAACACCTCATTCATTATCTAGCAGACAGTAATTACATAATCACTTGGTAATATTCAGAAGCAAGTGAATTTGAAGGCAGGACACATACACAGTCAAGAGGACCCTGCCCTCAAGAGGACTTTAAAGGAGTACTGTTCTGAAGAAACCACACTGGAACCTGTGCTCCTGCAGAAAAGAATGGTGTTTTCTTTTCTAAAGATGAGAGGTAAGCAGACTGGTCTACTGAATACTATAGTATTTTAGCAGTTGTCCCATTTGTAGGCTAATGTACAAATTGGTTCACACTGCCAAATATGAAGATGTACATTAGCCTTTTGAGGTTTCTAATCAAAACAAGCACATGAGAGACACCAGTCAGTACAGTGTGGTGCGATGCCCCCAGACTTCTCTGAGGACACCTGTTTCTGTGAATAGAAATGGAGGATATGATCCATTATGTTGTAGAGACTGCACACTGTGTAGTGTATTTCACTACTGTTAGAAGTGTTGGAATACATTACATCAGTTAACAGTTCACCAGGAACCTTGTAAGACTCAATGAGTTGAGCAATTAATGTTGAATTAATCAGTAATTTATGAGTAGTTATTCTAAGAAACCATAGTTACTTAGTAATTCTTTATGAGACTCAGTAGTTAATGTTTAGTTAATACTGAACTACCCTAATCATTAGATCACTATTATCTACTGAGTAGTTAACTAGTAGTTCCTGGTAGTTAATAGTAGGTACTTTAGTGTTAATGAAACACTGCATTCGTGCTTAATTCCTGATTAGTTACTTACAAACTACAAAACAGTATTGTGAAGTGTTACTAAAAATTTTCTGCCTTTTTACTCACAAGGGCAGCAGCACATCCAGAACATGTGAATGTGTGAGATTCTTCAGCTGTCAAATGAGTGGTGAATTACAAAATGTTCACGTACACATACTTAAGATCACACACATCACAGTAACATCACAAGTTTTATTATCTAAGAAATACCTATCTATTAAAACACTGGTTTCCAAGTGCTGGATGTTGTTTGTGTTGTGTGCATGTGTGGCTTGTTATTGCTAGCAGCAGCACACTTGGTAAATAGTAGATCACTTTTTAAATGGGTGAGTGTCAGGTAGCTAGCTGACACAGCTAATTGACAGTTATGATGCAATTTTTGCTCAGAATCAGGGAAACACACAACCAAAAACAGTTTTAAAAAAACAAGTACGATCCCTCTCCCCATACCCCAAAAAGGGCGTGCAGTGTGCCATTTGTTTCTCTACATAGTGTGAACCTTCCCTTACTGTGCCTTACTATACAGTTATTGCTGTTTACATTCTCTCAATCACACACATAACATCAAGATCATCCATTTAGTTTTTAACAGCTTTATTAAAAGGGTTCTCTATAGTTGGTCTAAATTAGTTTTGCTTTATGATATATTCAGTTGTTGTACTGACAAGTACTGACAATAGCCATGATATACAAACCTCCAAAAAAGTATGTGAAATGCTAATGTAAAGTCTACTTGTGTTTAAGTTCCCCTTATTAATAAGGATCCCAAAGTACAGTGAATACAGTGAACACAGCTGGATCTGTAATGTATAGGATCAGGTTCAACCTTCAAAAAATTAATTCCAGCCAGAACAAATTACTAGTGTGGTTGCCATTTGCTACAGAAAAAACACTAATTTTAAGTATATACTAAGCAGTGACATAGGAAATACCCTGCAAATATATACAAAAAAAGAACAATCTCTAAATCAGTAATCAACTTCCACCACCAGGGTATAATACCACTTTAAGCTTGTGTGTTCTTATAAAAACATGTACATATCATACACATAAAGGGAAAAGTCACATCTACTGCTCCTTAGACATGTAGCCTATTTAAAATCACAATCTGTGACATCCAAAGACATATAAATTAAGCTATTTACATTAGCTATCTAAATATTTTAAGAGGTAGACATTAATAAACAAAGCATGAAGGCACACATACCCATGTACCTAATCACAGCAGATCATGTGCAGGATAACCAGCATTTACATCAAGGAGGCTATAACAAACATTTAAAAACGTTCATCGGTCAGTCACATTTGTGTATAAGGACTGAAACAGCCAGCTTAAGCTGTACTTTACAATTCTTTAATCTCGAGACTACAGTCTCAGTTTCCAGCATTTCCCTCAAACAAAATGCGCTGCCTTAATGGAATTTTACCACCACTGTCTTGTAGACTACTGTAAGACCCCTATTACATGTGACTCCCATATTCACACTAAAATATGCATCTCCTACATTAATAAAAACAAAAGGCAGTGATTAGTAAATTCTGTATTAAATTTTAAAAAGTGCAAAAACATGATATTTGTTGTTTTACTTAATAAATCTGTTGTAACATCAAGAAACGTTTGCATGTTGGTTATTTGTTCTTTAGAATTTGTTCTTTAGAAGGACTCTTATTGTGAAGCCAGGGCTGGTTCCACCTGGGTTTATATGTGAGGGAGTCAGTTGTGAGCTGGGAGCTGAGCATGTCAGACGTGAGCTGAGTAGTGAACGAGCTGTTAGTAAAGAGAAAACTTTGCTTATCTATGCTGTAGCTGTGGCCAACAATAGCTGGATAATACAGCACTACAACTTGTCCCTGAGCTGTGCATCTTTTAATAGTGGTGAGCACTTTGAATTGGTACCCAAATGGTGTCTGAGTTGTCTGATGAACAAATAGCCCTGCATCTCCTGCTTTGTTTGCCAGATGATAGCTTGCCTGCTATTGCTAGACCTCAGTGAGAGAGCTGATTACAGTGCTTTGGTCTGGGTGCTTCAGAGGCGTTTCAGGCAATGTTTCTGGCCCAAGCTCCTTTGGTTTGAACTGTGTAACCATCAAAGATAGCCAACTAGATGGCTAGATGGGCTTGTGACTCACATGCCGCCTCCTGTATAGTGTGAGATAGCACAATACCAGTTCATCATGGCACTGTCTTCAACTGAGCTGTGTGTCCACATACAGTTGGCCCACCCACGCAACTTGCCTGAGGCCCTGGAATTGATGTTGGTGAGAAAGTTGGCATGGTCAGTGGCATGGATGGAGAAGATGACAGAACTGCTGGCCGTACAACCAGTGGCACGGGCCCAATGGTGGCGGACATGCAGCTGGCTAGGGCTTGTCCATTGGTGGTGAAGTCAGTAGGAAAGACTTCTGCCCTAGCCTAACTATTGTAGACATAAGCATATTGCCACAGCGGGCATAAAACAGGTTTATGGTCTGTTCATGGTCTTACCTGTGATGACTTGATGCACTGAAGTATTGTTAGATATTTGCTTTGGTATTGTCACAAAGCCAATGACAGCTTATGTACAACCCCATTTCCAAGAAAGTTGGGACGCTGTGCAAAATGTAACTAAAAACAAAATGCAATGATGTGCAAATCATTTAAACCCTATGTTTCATTGAAAAAAGACAGCATATCGAATGTTGAAACTGAGAAATTATATATATATATATATATATATATATATATATATATTATTATTTTTTTTTATATTTGCTCATTTTGAACTTGATGCCAACAACATGTTCCAAAAAAGTTGAGACGGGGGCAACAAAAGGCTGGTAAAGTTGTGTAATGCTAAAAAAAACACTTGGTGGTTGATTGGCAACAGGCCAGTAACATGATTGGGTAAAAAAAGATCATCCCAGAGAGGTTGAGTCTTTCAGGAGTAAAGATGAGCTTGTGCACAAGCAAATAGTACAACAATTCAAGAATAACATTTCTCAACGTAAAATAGCTTTTGCTTTTCATCATCTATGGTGCATAATAATATTAACAGATTCAGAGAATCTGGAGAAATCTTTGTATGCAAGAGACAAGACCAAAAAGCACTATTTGCTGGCCATGATCTTTGGGCCCTCAGGCAGCACTGAATTAAACACATTCTGTAGTGGAAATCATTGTATGGGCTCAGAAACACTTCTGAAAACCACTGTCTGTGAACACAGTTCAACACTGCATCCACAAATGCAAGTTAAAACTCAAAAACACAAAGAAGAAACTGTACATGAACAGGATCCACCTTCTCTGGGCCAGAGCTCATTTAAAATGGACAGAGGGAAAGTGGAAAAGTGTACTGTGGTCTGACAAATCAAAATTTGAAATTCTTTTTGGAAATCATGGACACTGTGTCCTCCGGACTAAAGACCACTCAGCTTGTTATCAGTGCACAGTTCAAAAGCCAGCATTCATGATGGTATAGAGGTGCTTTAGTGCACATGGCATGGGTGACCTTCACATCTGTGAAGGCACCATTAATGCTGAACGATAAATATAGGTTTTACATTTCACTTTCAAAAGTACAGCAATTGGTTTCCTCAGTTCCCAAACGCTTACAGAGTGTTAAAAGAAGAGGTGATGACACACAGTGCTCAACATGCCCCTGTCCCAACTTTTTTGGAACGTGTTGTTGGCATCAAATTCAAAATGGCATATATTTTTCAAAATACAATAAAATTGATATGTTGTCTTTGTAGTATGTTTCTTTAACAATGTGGTTTACATGATTTGCATATCATTGCATTCTATTCTTATTTACATTCTGCACAGCATCCCAACTTTTTTGGAAATGGGATTGTGGTAAAACAGCACTCTAATTACCAAATTTACAGAAAACCAACAACAGCAAGTACATTTGTTTTCAGCTTTGGACAAGAAGAAAAACTGTAAATCTTTTAACAGAACTGGAGCTTGACATTCAAACATTTACACTCTGATAACAAACTAAGGGATTTAAGCAAATATAATAAACTCAGTAGAGCTGCCTGTTTTGTCAGCCAGCGGCAGATTGGATAATATTGTGGCCAGATTCACACAGTCATGCGCTAATCTCTCAAGGCTGAAGTCAGCTTATTCAATTTTCCTTTGCACTTTAAAAATCCTGCAGCTGCATTCTATTATTCGTCCAGGCATCTGAACTTAACTGCTACATCATTTAAAGTGGAACAGGAACTAAAGCTATCTTCAGCTTCATCTAAGCTCCATCCTCTGTCTCATATACAATCAACCAATCAGAGCTGTAATACTTTAGGGGGGCTGCTGGTTTAACCCCTAAATTACGACGGATACACACTTGGATGTAATAGTTCCGGTGCTTATATGATGCAGTTTTTTTTTACTTCATTACTTGCTACCTCTGCAAACACCTCCCATACTTTACAAAGATAAAGTCCATTACTTCCATAAACAATCTGAAAGATTCACCTGTCAGACCACATTTTTCATCAGACCATGTGCATCAGACCATTTCATATGAGCTCAAGCCCACAGAGGTCGGCAGCGTTTCTGGATGTTGTAGACATGTTTTACACTGTGCATAATACAGTCTTAACTTGCTTTTGTGGATGCAGCAACAAATGTGTTTGTTGACAACATTTTGTCAAAGTATTCCTCAGAACATGCAGTGGTATCAACAATGACTATAACAATGTCTGTTTTTAATGCAGTGCCATCTGAGGAATTCAAGGTCATGGGCATTCAATTGTGGTTTTCAAAGGGTGGAATACCCAGAATCCTTGCAAATGCTTGTTAAGGAACATTGTTTCTAAATTAATGGATTATTCGCTGATGCTCGTCAAAGCCTCAAAGCTTCTAACTCTAACCCTAACCCTAACCCCAAATCCAAAAAAGTTAGGATGCTGTGTAAAATGTAGATAAAAATAAATAAAAACAGAATTCAAAGATTTGCAAATTTCATAGACCCATATTTTATTCACAATATAACATGGAACACAAATCAGATGTTGAAAGTGAGACATTTTACCATTTTATGAAAAACATTAACTAATTTAGAACTTGATGGCAGCAACGCATCTCATAAAAGTTGGAGCAACAAAAGGCTAGAACAGTAAGTTGTACTAATAAAAACAGCTGGAGGAGCAATTTGCAATTAACTTACATGACTGGGTATAAAAAGAGCATTTTAGAGAGGCAGAGTCTCTCGGAAGCAAAGATGAGGAGAGCTTCACCAATCTGCAAAAAACTGCATCTAAAATTTGGGAAACAATTTCAGAAAAATGTTCCTCAACATAAAATAGCAAAGACTTTGGATATCCCACCATCTATAGTACATAATATCATCAAAATATTTAGAGAATCTGGAGAAATCCCTGTACGCAAGTGACAAGGCTGACGATCAATATTGGATGCTTGAGATCTTCGGGCCCTCTGGCGACACTGCATTTAAAACAGCCATAATTCTGTACTGGAAATTACTGCATGGGCTCAGTAACACTTCCAGAAATCATTGTCTGCGCACACATTTCGCTGTGTAATCCACAAATGCTGTTAAAGTTAAAGCTGTATCATGCAAAGAAGACGATCAAGAAGGTCAAGACAAGAAACACTGCCATCTTCTTTGGGCCAAAGCTCATTCAAAATGGACTAAGGCAAAAAGGAAAACTGTTCTGTGGTCATATTAATCAAAATTTGAAATTCTTTTTGGAAACCACGGACGCAGTCCTGTGGACTCAAGAGGAGAGGGACCAATTAGCTTATCAGCGCACAGTTCAAAGGCCTGCGTCTCTGATGATATGGGGTTGCCTTAGGGCCTATGGCGTGGGCA